CATTTTCTTCCTTTATATTTGTTAATATTTGTTATATATATATTTAGGTACTCTGATGTGGGGTGCAAGTAATTTACAGTCCTCTTATTGGATTGATCCCTTTATCATTATGTAATACCCTTCCTGGTCTCTTGTCACCGTCTTTGTTTTAAAGTACTTTTTTCTGATATAAATACTACTGTGCTGGTTTTTTTTCACTTCCATCTACATAGAATATCTTTTTCCATCTCTTCACTTTCAGTCTGTATGTGTCTTTAGGTCTGAAGTGAGCCTCTTGTAGGCAGCATACTGATGGGCCTTTTTTTTTTTTTTTTTTGGTAAATCTCTTCAGTCACCCTGTGTCTTTTGATTGGGGCGACTTAGACCATTTACATGTAAAGTAATTGATAGGTACTGTTTACTGCCATTTTGTTAATTGTTTCTGATTGTTTTTATAGTTCATCTCTGTTCCTTTATTCTTCTCTTGCTCTTTTTCATTGTAATTGGTAACTTTCTGTAGTGTTATGTTTGGCTTTCTCTTTATTTTTTGTGTATCTGTTATGGGTTTTAGGTTTGGGGTTATCATGAGGCTCATATATAACATCCTAAGTATAGCAGTCTATATTAAGTTGATGATCATTTTAGTTTGAACACATTCTAAAAGAACTTCTGTGTTTTTTTTTTATTATTATGTTATGTTAATCACCATACATTACATCATTAGTTTTTGATGTAGTGTTCCATGATTCATTGTTTGTGTATAACACCCAGTGCTCCATGCAGAACGTGTCCTCTTTAATACCCATCACCAGGCTAACCCATCCCCCTCCCCTTCCCCTCTAGAACCCTCAGTACTTCCCCTTCCATATTTTATGTATTATGATCATAGTTTACATCTTTTTATTCATAATTTTTTATGTCTAATAATGGCCTTTTCCTTTCCACTTAAAGAAGTCTGTTTAACATTTCTTGTAAGGCTGGCTTAGTAGTAATGGATTCTTTTAACTTTTTTTTTATTATGTTATGTTACTCACCATACATTACATCATTAGTTTTTTTTTTTTTTTTTAATGTTCATAGTTGTCTTATTCAGAGATAAACATACCATTTGGATTTACCTAAAACAATTGGGCATGATGAAACCCTGAGTTACAAACATACTTACCTATTATAATATTTTTTAAGGGAAATTGAACCTGTATTGTCTTCTTTTGTTTACAACCATACTGCACAGGTTTTGTTACCCAAGGTTTCACAGTTCTCAGAGGCCACAAAAGTGGGACAAGTGGGTCACTTTTTCAGAACTACTTGTTTTCCCCCCATTCAAATATTTTTACTCATGTATCTAGAAAGACTACTATCCAGAGGGATTATTTCAGGGTTCAGAGAAGAAAACAATTTTGAAGTAATAGGTAAGGGATACAGTCATTATTTGTGTCAGTACACGCTTTTTACTCAAAAGACCTTTGGCCGAAACCTTATACCTTACATAAAAATTAAATCAAAATGTATCATAGATTTAAATGTAAAATTATAAACATTAGAGGCTAGCATATAAGAAAGTTTTCAGGAGCCCCTGGGTGGCTCAGTCGGTTAAGTGTGCGTTCAGCTCAGGTCATGATCCTGGGGTTCTGGGATCGAGTTCCGCACCGGGCTCCCCGCTCAGCGGGGAGCCCGCCTCTCCCTCTCCCTCTGTCTGCAGCTCTCCCTGCCTGTGCTCTCTCTCTCTGACAAATAAATAAATAAAATCTTTTTTTTAAAAAAAGAAAGTTTTCAGAATCTAGAGATAGGCAAAGAGTTCTTGGACTTGACAACATCATTAGTTTTTGATGTAGTGTTCCATGATTCATCCTTTGCATATAACACCCAGTGCTCCATGCAGAACGTGCCCTCTTTAATACCCATCACCAGGCTAACCCATCCTCCCACCCCCCTCTCCTCTAGAACCCTCAGTTTGTTTCTCAGAGTCCATAGTCTCTCATGGTTCATCTCCCTCTCCGATTTCCACCCCCTTCATTTTTCCCTTCCTGCTATCTTCTTCTTCTTCTTCTTCTTCTTTTTTTTTTTTTTAACATGTAATGTATTATTTGTTTCTGAGGTACAGGTCTGTGATTCCTTTAACTTTTGTTTGTTTGGTAAACTTTTTATCTCTTCTTCAATTCTGAATGATAACCTTGCCTGGTAAAGTAATCATGGTTGTAGGTTTTTTTCTTTTTTTTTTTCTTCCAGGATTTTATTTAAATTCAAGTTAGTTAACATACAGTGTAGAATTGGGTTCAGGGGTAGAATTTAGTGATTCATCACTTACATATAACACCCAGTGCTCATCACAAGAAGTGCCCTCCTTCCTTAATGCCCATCATCCATTTAGCCCATCCTCCCACCCACCTCCCCTTCAGAAACCCTCAGTTTGTTCTCTATAGTTAAGAGTCTCTTATGGTTTGCCTCCCTCTCTGTCTTTATCTTATTTTATTTTTTCCTTTGCTTCCCCTATGTCATCTGTTTTGTTCCTTAAATTCCACATATGAGTGAAATCATGTGGTATTTGACTTTCTCTGACAGACTTATTTCACTTAGCATAATACACTCTAATTCCATCCACATCATTGCAAATGGAAAGATTTCATTGTTTTTGATGGCTGAGTAATAGTCCACTTCTAAACTTGAAACAATGGTCTTGTGTATGGTCATCCCTTGTGTAGGCTGTGTGTGCCTGTTTACTTTCTCTGGCTAGCTGGAATTGTGGGTGGCATGGGTTATGGGGTACTCTGACCTGGAGCTGCCCTGGTCGGATGGCTGGAGCTGAAGTGTGCATTGGCCAGGCAATCCTGTGGCTCTTCATGCAGAAGATGTCCTGGCAGGACAGCCAAAGTAAGTATAAGCTAGGGGTTTTCAGGGCTGTATGTGCAGAGGGCACCCTGAAGGACTGCTGAAGCTGAAGTGCTGAAGCTGAAGTGGGTATAATCTGGGATGTTCTGGGACTCTCTACACAGATGGTGTCTTTGCAGGTGGCTGGAGACAAGGCAGGGCACAGGCTGGGGGGTCCTGGGGTGCTCTGAGCAGGGATCACCCTGGCAGGACAGTTGTAGCTGAAGTGGGCATAACCTGGGGTAATTCCAGGGCTCTTTGCAGAGAGGATGCCCTGGAAGGACAGCTAAAACTGAAGTTCATGCAGGTTGGAATGTCCTGAGGCTCTCCACACAGAGGGGAGAAGGACAGGACAGCTGAAGCTGAGGAAGGAGCAAGCTGGAATGTCCCAAGATGCTCAGTACAGGGAGTCTCCTGGTGGGGTGTCTGGAGCCAAGGAAGGCATGGGCCAGAGGTTCCCATGGTGCTCTGTGCAGGGGACACTCTGGTGGGGTGTGGCTAACAGCTGAAGCAGGAATCAGCTGGGAAGTCCTGAAGTATTCTTTACCTAGGGGTGCTCTAGCAAGCCATTTGGAGCCAAAATGGTACAGGAACTAGAATGTTCCAGGGCGCTTTGTGTTTGTCTCAATGTAGCATGGCAGCTGGAGCTGTAGTGAGTGCTGACCATGGGTTTCTTAGTGCACACCACCCTGGGACCGCCTTGGTGGGATGTCTGGGGCTGGTGTGTTCTAGAGTCCTAGGACTCACTGATGTGGTATGCCAGTTAGGGTGCTCAGATTCTGCTCAAGTCCAAGCCATCAAGATGGAGAGTGAACAAAAATCGTGATGCTTGCCAGCCCTTCTGACCCAGAGAGAGTTCCAGGAGCTCCTCCACTGTTTGGCAAGGTTCTAGGGCTAGTTCCTTTGTATTCTAGTTGCTCTTTTGAACTGAGGCTTTTTTTTTTTTTTTTTTTTTTCTGTGCTCCAGGGCAGACAAATCTGCTTAGGGTTTCTCAGTACTGTCCCTCCTCACTGCAGTTCACTGCATCGGGGCAGGGCGGGGGGGAGGGGCTGGCATTCTCTTTGTTGCAGTGTCCGTTTTTCTTGCCTTTATCTTTTGTTGTGTAGAATCTGTTCAGTCAGCCCTCAGTTCTTCAGGAGGAATTTATCTGTAAATAGGTGTCGATTTGGTGTGTCCGTGGAGGAGATGAGTTCAGATAAGTAGCCATCTTGGACCAGAATTCTCCTAGACTGGGAGATTTAAATTGACTTATCTTCAAGTTTGCTGATTCTTTTTTCTGCCTGCTCATATCTGCTGTTGAAACCCTTTAGTGAGTTTTTCATATTATATTTTTTATACTTTTCAGCTCAAGAATTTTTGGTTGGTTCCTATTTATAATTTCTGTCTCTTCATTGATAATTTCTACTTATTTGTACATTGCTCCTCTGGATTCCATTAGCTCTTTGTGGCTTCCTTTAGTTATTTGAATACATTTAAAACAGTTGCCTTAAAGTCTTTGTCTATCAAGAGTACTGTCTCTGCTTCCATAGGGACCTATCTCCTATTGAGCAAATCCTATCTGTGACTCTAGATTGACCTATCTCTCCAGATTTCAAGGTATCAGTTCTTTGCAAAGTTGTTGATTTTCAGTTTGCTGACTTTTTTTTTTTGTTTGTAAGCCTGGATATGATGACTTCTAAGCAATTTGCATGTTGGAGCCAAAACTAGAAGTTTCTTCCCATTCTATTTTGTTCCTTTTTAGTCCCTCCATTTTTTATTTCTCTGTTTTCTATTCTCTGTCTTCCTTTTGGTAACTTGAAAATATTTTGATATCTTATAATGATTTTGAGTAAATCTATTTGTACCTTTTTTTTAATTTCTTGCTCATGTTATTCAGTTATATATACTAACATATGTAATGCATAATACCCATATTTTCTAGTTTCCTAGTTTCTGTGTTTGATGCTTTGACATCTTGGGGCCTTGCTGTTCCTGGATGGACTGTCCTCTCCAGGGCTTGCTAATTCCTAAAGAAAGCAAATGATTCACCTGCAAATGTGCCTTTCATATGCAAACGAATCATTCCAGAGCCAAACCTCCCATCACTTCCTTTATCTAACTCTTATACTTCTACACTCCAAACTTAATCTTCTTCGCCTTGCTTTTCCCACAGAAGCCACGATAAAGGCTCTTGCCCACATTTGCCTCTTGACCAATGATGGGTATTTCCCATGTGGACCTTCATGATGTGCCAAGCCTCCTGTTTCTAGGGATCTGTAAGTATAAAAACTTCTTTCATGACAGTCATGTTCATGCCTATGTATGTGTCTTACCATACCTGATTCAAACAAATTCTGGTTACTTTTAAAACAACAGTCTGCTAGTGTTGACATTTACTAGTTAGAATACAGTTAGAATCCCTATCTCTTTTTACATCCCTTTAACTGTTCCCATTAATATGAAGTGTCTCAAGTATTTCCTCTACATACATTTAAAACCACCCAGACATTACTGTAATTTTGGTTTTAACCATCAAATATCATTTAGAAAACTCAGTAGGAAAATTACCCATATATTTACTCTTTCTATTATTCTTTCATCCTTTCTGGTATGGTAAGAGTCCTTCTATTATCATTTCCTTTCTGTTTAGAGAACTTCCTTTAGCCACTCTTCTCTCAGCATTTGAGAAGTGTTGTATCACTTCCTTCTGTTCGCCATGATGGTTAACAAGAACTTGCAGTCATTCAAATAGTTTTTCTATAAAAGTAGAAGTCATTTCTTCAAGATTAACTGTGATGTATTTTGATCTATGATTCTTTGGGTATATCCTGTTTCGGATTTGCTCAGTTTCTTGTATCTGTAGTTTTATGTGTTCTGCCAATTTGGGAAATTTTCATCTGGTGTTTCTTTGAATACTTTTTTTTAAAATTTCTCCCTCTTCTTCTGCTTCTTCTGGGAGTCCTCTCACAAAAAAAAAAAAAAAAGTTTGATCTTGTGCTATAATCCAACAGGTGAAGCTCAATTCATCTTTTTTTTTTTCTTTTTAGTGTATTTTATCTGTTGTTAACATTGGGTAATTTCTGATATTTCTAATATTGTTCTACCTTTATGTTCACTGATTCTTTCATTCCCTTTATTCTGCTTTTGAGCCCATCCACTGTGTTTTTTGCTTAACTTATATTTTTCAGTTTTAAAATTTTTATTTGGTTATATTTAGTATCTTTTATTTCTTTGGTAAGACTTTTTTTTTTCTTTTGTTTCAAGAATATTCACAATTGCTCATGGAAACATTTCTATAATAACAGCTTTAGAAATCTTTGGAAGATAATTCTAAAATTCCTGTCATCTTGTTCGCATGTATTAGTTGGGTGTTTTTGTTTTTTGTTTTCCTAATCCAAGTTTAGATTTCCTAATTCTTTGTATGACAGACTAGTGATGTTTCAATTGAAATCTGGATATTTTAATATTATGATATTTTAGGTATTTTTAAACCTTCCATTTTAGCTGGCTCTCTCTGTAAAATTCTGGCAAGAAAAGAGGGGAAAGGTGATCCTGCTGCATTACTGCCAGGTGGGGTAGAAGTCTAGGTTCCCTACTTGGCTTCTGTTGACACAAAGAGGTGAGAATCTTCTAATTACTGCTGGCAAAGGGTGGGAACTTGTACTCCCTGAAGAGTGTTCACTGATGTCACTCTCGTTGAGAAGGTTAAGCGTCTCATTTCTGCTCCCCACTTGGCCTCCACTTACATCACAGGAATGGGTTTTGGTGAAAATCCTCAGTCTCTACTAAGCCTCCTCTAACATTATCCCTGTGTGTAGGAGAGGAGGAGCTTCCTTACTTCTGTGTGAAAATGGAATTCCAGTCTCCCCACAGTGTTTTCCACACACTATGGGGCTGAGGGGGGCCTTCATACCATATACTGGAGATGAAAATCCCAGCTTCATACTTAGCTTTCTCTGATGGCACCCCACAGTAAGGGTGTTTTGGGGCACCTCATTACAGCATGGCAAGGATGGAAGTCTAGGTTCCTTACTCTGCCTTTGTGGGCAAGGATGAGAGTGGGTCTCTGCCATTCTGACAGGTGTGAGATGATACCTCGTGTAGTTTTGATTTGCATTTCCCTGATGGTAAGTGATAATGAGCATCTTCTCATGTGTCTGTTGATCATCTGTATGTCTTCTTTGGAGACATGTCTGTTCGTGTCTTCTGCCCATTTTTAAATTGGATTATTTGCTTTTTGGGTGTTTAGTTTTATATGTTCTTTATAGATTTTGGATGCTAACTCTTTATCAGATATGTCATTTGCAAATATCTTTTCCCATTCCCTAGGTTACTTTTTAGTTTTGTTCATTATTTCCTTCACTGTGAAGAAGCTTTTTATTTTGATGTAGTCCCTATAGTGCATTTTTGCTTTTGTTTCCCTTGTCTTGGGAGACCTATCTAGAAAAAAAGTTACTATGGCTGATGTCAGAGAAGTTACTGTCTGTGTTCTCCTCTAGGATTTGGATGGTTTCCTGTCTCACGTTGAGGTCTTTCATCCACTTTAAATTTATTTTTGTGAATGGTATAAAAAAGGGGTCCAGGTTCATTCTTTTGCATATTGCTGTCCAGTTTTCCCAGCACCATTTGTTGAAGAGACTGTATTTTTCCCATTGGATATTCTTTCCTGCTTTGTCAAAGATTAATTGACCATATAATTGTGGGTTTATTTCTGGGTTTTCTGTTCTGTTCCATTGATCTATTTTTTGCGCCAGTACCATACTGTTTTGATTACTACAGCTTTGTAATATAACTTGAAGTCCAGAATTGTGATGCTTCCAGCTTTGTTTTCTTTTTCCAGAATGCTTTGGCTATTCAGGGTCTTATGTGGTTCAATTCAAATCTTAGGACTATCTGCTCTAGTTCTGTGAGAAATGCTGTTGGTATTTTGATAAGGATTGTATTAAATATGTAGATTTCTTTGGGTAGTATAGAAATTTTAACTATATTTGTTCTTGCAATCCATGAGCATGGAATGTCTTTACATTTCTTTGTGTCTTCTTCAATTCCCCTTCATCAGTGTTCTATACTTCTCAGAGTACAGGTCATTCATCTCTCTGGCTAGGTTTATTCCCAGGCATCTCATTATTTTTGGTGCAATTATAAATGGGGTTGTTTTCTTAATTTCTCTTCCTGCTGTTTCATTACTGGTGTATAGAAATACAACAAATTTCTGTCACTGATTTTATTTCCTGAAACTTTAATGAATTTATTTATCAGTTCTAGCAGCTTTTTTGGTGGAATCTTTCAGGTTTTCTATATATATTATCATGTCATTTGCAAATAGTGAAAGTTTTACTTCTTCCATACCGATTTGGATGCCTTCTTTTTCTTATTTGTTTGCCATGCTCGGACTTCTAGTACTATGTTGAATAAAAGTGAGAGTAGACATCCTTGTATTGTTCTTAACCTTAGGGGAAAGGCTCTTGGTTTTTCCCCATTAAGGATGATGTTAGCTGTGGGGTTTTCATATATGGACTTTATTATGTTGAGGTATGTTCCCTCTACCTACTTTGTTGATGGCTTTTATCATGAATGGATGTTGTACTTTGTCAAATGCTTTTTCTGAGTCTATTGAAATGATCATATGGTTCTCCTTTTTCTTATTTATGTGATATATTACATTGATTGATTTGTGGATATTGAGCCACCCTCGCAGCCCAGGAATAAATCCCACTTGGTCGTGGTGAATAATTTTTTAAATGTATTGTTGGATTCATTTTGCTAGTATTTTGTTGAGGATTTTTGCATCTGTGTTCATCAGAGATATTGTCCGTAGTTCTCTTTTTCTTGTAGTATCTTTATCTGGTTTTGGTATCAAGATAATGCTGGTATCATAGAATGAAATTGGAAGTTTTCCTTCCTTTTCTATTTTTGGAATAGTTTGAGTTCACAAAGAGATATTAACTTTTAAATGTTTGGTAGAATTTGCCTGTGAAGCCATCTGGTCCTAGACTTTTGTTAATTGGGAGTTTTTTGATTACTGATTCAATTTCTTTGCTGGTTTTTGGTCTGTTCAAATTTTCTATTTCTTCCTGTTTCAATTTTAGTAGGTTATATGTTTCTAGGAATTTATCCATTTCTTCTAAGTTGTCCAATTTGTTAGGCATATAGTTTTTTATAATCTCTCAAAAATGTTTGTATTTATGTGGTATTTTTTATTTCTCCTCTCTCATTTGTGATTTTATTCATTTGGGTCCATTCTCTTTTGTTCTTGTTAAGTCTGGCTAGAGGTTTATCAACTTTATTGCCTTTTTTCAAAGAAGTAGTTTCTGGTTTCATTGATCTGTTCTATTCTTCTTCTGGTTTCTATATCATTTGTTTCTGCTCTAGTCTTTATTATTTCCTTCCTTCTGCTGATTTTAAGTTTTGTTTATTCTTTTTCTAGTTTCTTTAGGATAAGTTTAAGTTGTTTATTTGAGATTTTTCTTGCTTCTTGAGGTTGGCCTATATTGCTATAAACTTCTCTCTTAGACCACTCTTGCTGCATCCCAAAGGTTTTGGACTGTTGTGTTTTCATTTTTATTTGTTTCCATGTACTTTTTTATTTCTTATTTTATTTCCTGGTTGACTCACTCATCATTCAGCAGCATGTTATTTAACTTCCATATACTTACGGTCTTTCCAGATTTTTCCTTGTGGATGACTTCTAGTTTCATAACATTGTTGTCAGAAAAGATGCATGGCAGCACTTTGATCTTGAATTTGTCAAGGATTGTTTTGTGGGCTAATATATGATCTCTTCTGGAGAATGTTCCATATGCACTTGAAAAGAATGTGTAGTCTGCTGTTTTAGGATGGAATGTTCTGAATGTATCTGTTAAATCCATCTGGTCCTGTGTGTCATTCAAAGCCATTGTTTCCTTATTGATACTCTGTTTAGATGATGTAAGTGGGGTATTAAAATCCCCTACTATTCTTGTATTATTATTGATTAGTTCCTTTATGTTTGTTATTAACTGGTTTATGTGTTTGGGTGCTCCCATGTTGGGTCCATAAATATTTACAATTGTTATTTCTTCTTGTTGGATTGTCCCCTTTATTATTATATAGTGTCCTTCATTATCCCTTGTTATAGTCTTTGTTTTAAAGTCTATTTTGTCTAAGTATTGCTACTCTGACTTTCTTTTGACATCCGTTTGTGTGATGAATGTTTCTCCATTCCCTCCCTTTCAATCTGCAGATTGTCTTTAGGTCTAAAATGAGTATCTTGTAAGCAGCATATAGATGAGTCTTGTTTTTTTTATCCATTCTGTCACCCTGTGTCTTTTGATTGGTTTGTTTAGTCCATTTACATTGAAAGTAGTTATTGATAGATGTGTATTTATTGCCATTTTATTACTAGTTTTGTGGTTGTTTTTGAATATTTTCTCTGATCCTGTCTTGTCTTGCTGTCTTTCATGGTTTGCTCATTTCCTTTAGTGATATATTTGGATATATTTCTCTTTATTCTTTGCATATCTATCAGTGGTTTTTGATTTGTAGTACCATTAAGTTTGTATGTAACATCTTCTGCATATAGCAGTCTATATTAAGTTGGTGTTCATTTAACTTGGAAACCATTTTTTACTCCTCTCCTCCCCACATTTTAGGTATATGGTGTCATATTTTACATTCTTTTATTTTGTGAGTTCCTTGACTGTTTTTTTCCAAAATATTCATTTTTACTGCTTTTGTGTTTCCTTCCTTCATACTGTCATTTTTGGCCTTGCCTTTCCTTTCAGAGTCCACTTTAATATTTCTTGCAGGGGTGGTTTAGTGGTCATGAACTCCTTTAGTTTTTGTTTGTCAAGGAAACTCTTATCTCTCCTTCTATTCTGAATAACAGCCTTGCTGGATAGAGTATTCTTGGCTGCAGGTTTTTCCAATTCAGCACTTTGAATATATCAGGCCACTTCTGATTACTATGGCTTTGTAGTATATCTGAAATGTGGGATTGTGATACTTGCAGTTTTTTCCCTCCTTTCTTAAGGTTGCTTTGGCTATTCGGGGTTTTTTTGTGGTTCTGTACAAATTTTAGCACTATATGTTCTAGTTCTGTGAAAATACTATTAATAATTTTTGTAGGGATTACATTGAATCTGTAGATTGCTTTAGTTAGTATGAACATTTTAACAGCATTAGTTCTTCCAGTCCATGAGCATGAAGTATTTTTTCCATTTGTTTGTGTCATCTTCAATTTCTTTTATCAATGTCTTACAGTTTTCAGAGTATAGGTCTCTCACCTGCTTGATTAAATATATTCCTAGGTATTTTATTCTTTTTGATGCAATTGCAAATAGCATCATTTTCTTAATTTATATTTTTTGCTACTTAATTATTACTGTAGAGAAATACAACACATTCCTGTGTATTAATTTTTATCCTGAAACTTTATTGAATTCATTTATTAGTTCTATCAGTTTTTTTGGTGGGTTTTCTATATATAGTATCATGTCATTTGCAAATAGAGAGTTTTACTGTTTCTTTCAAATTTGGATGCCTGTTATTTGTTTTTCTTGTCTGACTGATGAAGCTATGACTTCTAGTATTATGTTTCTTGTCTTGTTCCTGATATTAGAGGAAAAGCTTTCAGTTTTTCACCAGTGAGGATCATCTTAGTTGTGGGTTTGCTGTACAAAGCCTTTATTATGTTGAGCTTTGCTCTTCCTAAACCCATTTTGTTGAGAGTTTTTATCAACATTGAACTTGTCAGATGTTTTTTCTGCATTTATTGAGATGATATGGCTTTTAAGCTTCATTTTGTAAATGTGATATGCGACATTCATTGATTTATGGATATTGGACCACCCTTGCATCCTTGGGGAAAAAAACCCTTGACTGTAGTGATTGATCCTTTTATTTTCATTGTTGAATTAGGTTTGCTAATATTTTATGGAGGAGTTTTACATTTATGTTCCTCAGGGATATAGTTCCTTAGGCTTATAATTTTCTTTTTTTCTGTCTTTTTTTTGTAGAGTCTTTGCCTGGTTTTATATCAGCATAATGCTGGACACATAAAATGAATTTGCAAGTTCTCCTTTCTCTTCTGTTTTTTTTGGAAGAGTTTGAGAAGAATAGCTATTAACTTTTCTTTGAACATAGGGATCCAGCATTTTTGTCTTTTAAACCTGTTTGTTTGAGGTGCCTACTTAGCTCAGTCAGAAGAACATGTGACTCTTGATCTTGGGGTCATGAGTTCAAGCCCCATATTGGGTGTAGAGATTACTAAAAAAATAAACTTAAAAAATAAATAAAAATAAACCTTTTTGTTTACCAATCAAGTAAAGTTAATAGGGTAAATATGAATTTAGTGCCATTGTATTACCCATAAAGTTGTTTCTGGAGATTTTCTCTGTTCCCTTCTAGTATTTGTTGCTTTTGGTCTTTCTTTCCCACTCAAAGAGTCCCCTTTAATATTTCTTGTAGGGCTTGTTTAGTGGTCATGAACTCCTTTTGTTTTTATTTGTCTTGGAAACTCTTTATCTCTCCTTCTATTCTAAATGACACCCTTGCTAGATAAAGTATTCTTGGCTGTGTATTTTTTCCCATTCAGCACATTCAATATCTCATGCCACTCTCTTCTGTCCTGTTAGGTTTCTGTGGAAAGATCTGCTAACCAGATTTGTCTTCCCTTGTATGTTAGGAATTTCTTTTCCTTCACTGCTTTCAGGATTCTTTCCTTATCTGTATTTTGCAAATTTTACTACAGTATGTCTTGGTATTGACTAGCTTTTGTTGATTTTGATGGGAGTTCTCTACCTCCTGGAATTTGGATGTCTGTCTCTTTCCCCAGATTAGGGAAGTTTTCAGCTACATTTTCCTCAGATAAACCTTCTGCCCTTCCCCCCCCGCCTCTTTTTCTTCGGGGACTCCTATGATACAAATGTTATTATGCTTTATGGAGTCATTGAGCTTAAGCACTAGATGTTATATGTAAATGGTGAATCACTAAATTATACTCTTGAAACCAATATTACACTAATGTTACCTAACTAGAATTTAAATAAAAATTTGAAAAAAAATAAAGTTAATAGGGATTCTGGCTATCCTTGCAAGAGCAAGATCAGTCATTTATTAGTACAGTTATGCTAACACCTTTGTTAGTATGGTTCCCCCAATACCAACCACTGCAGTTTTCTATATCTTCCTTAACACTGGCAGGCAGTTCAACTTTTGTCCTCAATTGGATTAACTCCAAGTTTATTCCATAACCTAGACTGAAATGCATTCACTTTTACTTTTCAACTCAAATTTTTCCCAGTCACATAATAAGCTCAAATGATACAATAAAGATACCATGATAATACAAGGTCAATAATATAAAAAGTCTGAAAATTGCATAATATTGATTCCATTTTATTATTTTATTTCTATGGAGGAATAAAGTCCAAAAAATCATGTTCCTATTCTCTATATAAGTTAAAGGCACAGCCCAAATTCATCAATATAAAAAAAAGAAACTAAAAGACCATATTTCTTTTTTCCTAAATTACTTCTTTTACACAGTGTTAAGTAGCAGTTTAAATCAGTCTCCTGGATACTTTTAGGGGTCCATTCAGCTACTTTAGCATGAGTAGTTACTAACAGAAATAAAGGTAAGCTCTTTGGGGGAAATAGAAAATTAAAGAAATAATATCTGAACATTTTCCAAAATTGATGAATATTCTACACCTATAAATACAATAAACTCAGTGGATCCCAAGCAAAAGAAACACAAAGAAAAGCACAGCAGGGCTCATTATAATCTAGTCGCTAAAAATCCATGATAAAAAGAAAACCTTAAAGGCAGCCAAAGAAAACATTACATACACAAAGGTAAGAATAAAAAAAAGAAAAAAAGAATGACAGAAGACTTTTCTTCAGAGGGTAGGCAAACCAGAAGACAATGGAACAACATGTTCAAAATGTTGAAATATAAAGAAAAAAAGTCAAGCTATAACTCTACAGCTAGCAAAAAGGAGGAAACAAGGACTTTTTTGACAAGCAAAAGTGAGAGAATTTATGATCAGAAGAATGAACTACAAGAAATGTTTTTAAAAACAATTTTTAAGACAAAAGAGAATAACTATATGGAAATTTGGACTACACAGAAGAGTAAGGATGATTAGAGCTGATACTTATCATGAGTAAATATCTTTCTCATTTGTTAATATTTTTTCAAAGGTAATGTACCATTTAAAAGAAAACTAATAGCAATGTATTATAATAAGCCTATAATATATAGATAGATAGATGATAGATAGATAGATAGATAGATAGATAGATAGATAGATAGATAGATAGATAGATAAAAATGTACAAAAACAATAGCACCAAGGCAGGGGAAAAGTCATCTTAAACTGTACAGGAAAAAATTTATAATGTTATTTGAAAGTAGACAGTGGTTAAATGAAAGCTGTATATTATTAACCCTTGAACAATAATTTTAAAATAAAACAAAGAGGTATAACTAATAAGCCAATGGTGGAGATAAATGGATTCACAAACAACAAAAACAGCAAACACTCAACTAAGAAAAAGTAAGTCAGCAAAAGGGAAGAAGAGGAACAAAAAGAAGATTAAATTAAAACAACTAACAAAATGATAAATCTAACATAATGATAATTAAATATAAATTGCTTAAGACTGTATTATCCAATATGGTACTACTATCTACGTGTGGTTATTGAGCATTTGCTGTGTAGCTGGAATGAATTGCTGGACTTTGAGGACTTAGTGCAAAGAATATTAAATATGTAGTTAATAAATTGTATTTATTACTTACTGAAATAAGTACTTATTATTGAATTAATATTTTGTATGTATTGAAATAGTTTGTATGTATTGGGTTAAATAAACAAAACACTTAAATGAATTTCCCCTCTTTTTACTTTTTTAATGTGGATATTAGAACATTTAAAAATACATATGTAGCTAACATTTCTTTCTGACAGCTTTGGTATAATTCAGTTAAAAGGCAAGGATTGTCAGATGGGATAAAAAGTAAAACCCAACTATATGCTGTGTGTAAGAACCCAACCTTAAATTTTAAAAAAGAGGGAAATGCATGGTAGTAGAGGCAGGTCTGTATTTCAGATGTGAAACCAAAGATTATATAGTTTCTACTATGCCCTGCTCTTTTCAGTTATCTTTAGGCCCTTTGTAGTTTTAGGTGTTTGAGATACAAAGTAACTTACAAGTGCAAACATTACATAAAGATCAGTAAATATAATACAATACCTCAAGAGCCAGGAAAGTTGTGTGGAAGGCAAAATTTATTCTTTGGTATCTTCACAGTTCTTTCTTAGTGTCTTCAAGGGAATGGTATTGTTGATATCTCTCATTTTATGAACTATCTTACTCCCAGCTTTTCTTCTCCTCTTGCTTTTATCCAGTTGTAAGTTAATTCTGAATAAAGTGTCAGTTGAAAAAAGTTTAAGATATTACCTACACCAACTGACTTATATTTCACTAGAGGACTCTAGAAACATTTTGAAGGAAAAAAATTAAAACCCTTAACATAAATAAATTGAAATCTCATTGACTGAAAGAATAAACAATATCTCTAATGATTGAGGTACAGACCCCTTGAAAAGCCATGTTTGGGAATGAGAAACCTCCTCTATGCCATCAAATAAGACTATATAATGTGACACAGCTAATGAAAAAGTTAATGTCATATTCCTTTCACCAACAAATGCTTAATACCTAGTTCATTAAAGGTTATTTGCTATACTCTGTTCTCTGAAATAGCCATAACACATTTGTATCAATTTTCTGAACGACATTGAAAAACAGAAGTGTGTCCAGAGGAAAGTCATCAGGATAGTAATGGGACAGGAAACCATTTCAATCAAGGAATACTGAAACATTTGGGAATATTTAGCCTGGAAAGGCCTCAGAATGAGCATAATACTCCTAAATATTTAATATATAATCACATAGGAGTGGGGAGAGATTTATGCTCTGCTGTTTGATAGAAGGCCATTGAGAATAAGAAAAACATTTCAAGAGACAGTTTAGAGCTGTCAATGGAATGATGAAATGGAATTGGAAATGCCTCACCAGAAGCATTCAAATAGAGATAAATGAAGGATAATTGGTCAGGGATGATAAAGAAGTATCATGTGCCTTAGGGAAATATTTAACTAGATGCCCTCTAAAATTTCCTCCAACAGTTATGAGTAAGTCCCAGGCTTAGAAGTTAATTTTTACCCTAGAAGCAGCCATATATTTTAATGAGAAAAAATCCATCTTTTTTTTTGACATTTATACAAAATAAATCATTTTATTTCCAATGTTATGTAATACACAGATTTTGCTTCTTCTACCCATGCTTTAACATACTGATCCCTTATTATATAGTAGTCAACTGGACCCCTGCAATGTAGTAAGAAAACTTCTAATAAATAATAAGGCTCAGAGTTCATGCTTTTGTTGCATTAATGTAAATATTGTATCAACATTTTCACATAGAAGTAAATATTGTAATCCTATCTTTAAATAATCTCTTATTAAGAAAAAATAAGTTCTTTATTCTTCTGTGAACTAGCATATGCAGACAATTGTAATACCAACTTCACTTCTGGGCAGTAATATAGTGAAAACAGAGTGATGCCAAAATAATAGGAATTACCCCACAGAAAATTCTGACAACTTGTATCTTACAATATATTTAGTATCATGGCTAGTAGTGAACTACTGTGTTCCTAAATATAAGATAAAGTAGACAAGTGAGGTTGAGTTATTGATTACTGATTTGACCTTAATGACGGAAATACTGGCTTTCGCTGTAGATTGTAGCTTCTCAGTAATTCTGTGAATCATTGTACATTTGACTGAGTAGCATTAAGACAGGAAGACTTGTTCCTGTTTTTTTATATAATGTTGTTCCATCTAAAAAAATTTTTTTTATCTGTGTAGACCTTGGGTTAAAAGCCTCCAAGGAGGAGCACCTGGGTGGCTCAGTCAGTTAGGCATCCAACTCTTGATTTCAGCTGGGGTCGTGATCTCAATGTTGTGAGAGCAAGCCCTGCGTTGGGCTCCGTGCTCTGCACAAAGTCTGCTTGGGATTCTCTCTCTCCTTCTCTCTCTGGCCCTCCCCCTGCATGTCATGCTCTAAATAAACAAATACATGCATACATACATACATACATACATAAAATAGGTTTTAAAAAAGCCTCCAAGGAAATGTAAATGTATAAATGAATTATGTTTATGTTGTTTAGATAAAGGTTTTCTAAGTGTTAAGCAAGTTGCATTATTCTTACACCTGGAAGAATAAATGAGGTTTTCTCTATTTGGCAAGAAAAAAAGGTTGTGCTGAAATAAAATGCAAATACAGAGTTCTGATTTTATCAGAACATTTTGACCTCATTTTGTCTGCATGAATATATATTTAGTAATCTGTCAATTTCACAGTCTCTAGAAGCTGAGACTAAAACCTGCTATTTTGACTATGGACTGAGTCTTTTTTTTTAAATCTTTTTAGCTGAGAGATAATGCATTTTGTTTGTGGCATACAGCTACCTGTTCCCCAAAATTTGATCTTTTTCACCATAGTAATTCAATTTAAACTGGGCCCATGGTCATCTACCTGTAGACTATATTTCCCAGCTTCACTTGCTGTTAAATGTAGCAAGTGAGTAAGTTCTGTAGGGCTGGTTTCTCACTGATGAATTGTTTAAGCAGGTAGTTTTTTCATCCTTGGCACTTAGGATATAAAGAGTAGACAAGGCTTCATGGAAATGATATTTGTGTCCTTTTACTTGCTAGATCCCAGAATATGTGTGTAATCTCTTTTAAGCCAGTGTCGTGGTATTATACTATATTCAGTTCCCCTAAAGAACATTTTAAGTTTTAGCGTATAAAAGAAAGTGATATATGCTACTTCCATGTTACTTGCTTTAAAAAGAAAAAATCACTTGCCCTCCACATCCCAGGAACAGGGAAGTACCCTAATTCCCTGAGACTGATGAGATCAGTATCCTTGGGGTTTGTGAAACAATAAAATGGAAGCTCTGAATAATAGCCTGGGTTTCTGAACAACCATGTGGAACAGTCACTGCAATAGCAAGAATCTTTGAGGGACATTAGTGGATAATTACAATTAATGGGCATTTGTGTGTATCCATTTCTCTCCAGCAATAGAGTAGATAAGGGCTTCACCTGGCACAAGGACTAGTGACTATCACAGAAGATGTAGAAAGTGTTCTCTTTGGTCAGCTACAACTCTCTGCTCATGGTGAATGGTCACCTGAACACAATCGTAGTAGTTTTCTTCAGTATGGCTACATTTGATATCAGGGCTACTCATGTAAATGATTTCATATGTTAAGGTGCAGCTGTTCTTCATTCATTTATTTGCAGAATCCAGAGCAGTGGGGAAAAGTGTCTTTTAAAATGATTTTACCTCTAAATATATTTTCCTAGAAGCTATAACAGTTTATTTCAGCAGCATACACAGTGAATGGCAGTGGGGGGAAGAGGAGTTGGCTCATGAAGGAAGAATATTTTATCACTGACATTGTTTAGAATTGCCAGTGCATTGTGATAATAAAAGCAGACAGACTTTTAATCAGTTTTATTATTGATTTTTAGTTATATACAATCAATTATCTCCCTATACCAGGGAGCCCTGATCCCAATAGCCCAGCCTTTGTGTGCCACTGACTTATCTGAATATCACTGGATAATGCACAACTGTTTTTTCAGAATAGCTCAAACCCCCGGAAAGACGAAGTTAACTTTTAGTGGCATTTGATAAAACAAACTAAAACAAACTAATAAATTGTTCTCTCCAAATACCTCGCAGACATTGCCAGTGTCATGCCAATATCCCCTTAGCCATTGTCTTAGAACATTCAGATTGCCATACCAAAGTAGCTTAGACTGGGTTGCTTAAACAACAGAAATTTATTCTCACAATTCTGGAAGCTGTAAGCCCAAGATCAGTGTGCCAGTATGGTCCAGGTGCTGGTCAGAGCTCTCTTCCCAGCTTATAGATAGCTACCTTCTTGCCATATCCTCACATGGCAGAGAAAAAGAGTTTTTTGTGGGTGGGGGGCTGGGTGAAATAGATAAAAGGGATTAAGAGTACACTTATCATGATGAGCACTGAGTAATGTATAGAATTGTTGAATCACTATAATGTACACTTGAAACTAATATAATACTACATGTTAATTATACTTTAAGAAAAAAAGAAAGAGAGCTATCTGATGCCTTTCTTATAAGGATGCTAACCTCATCTTAAGGACCCTACCCTCATGACCATCTAACCCTAATTATCTCCAAAGGCTCCACCTCCAAATACCATCTCACTGGGGATTAGGCCTTCAACATATGAATTTGGGGGGACACAATTCAGTTCATAGCAGCCATTTAGTATTTTCATGCATGCCAGTCCAACTTCCAACTTCCCTTTATTCTCCTAGTCCCAGGATAGTCGTTGCTTCCTGTAGTTATTTCTGTATTACTTTTTGTTCTCTAATCCCCTATATTAAATTATCTTTGTTAAAATAACTTGTACAGTTTCTGTTTTCCTAAGTGGACTTTAATTGGTAAAGCATTAAAATTGTGAATCAAAAAGTTTAAGTCATTCAAAAGACAGGTTTTTCTTAATGATTAAAAGAAGTTAGGAAAGATATATTATCTCCCACAAATATATATTTAAAATTTTTTTGCCATGCAGAAAGTTTTAATGAAAAGAATATTGAAGAAATCAGAAACTCTAAATAGAAGATCCCATTTTTAAGCCCTCATGAGGATATAATAATCCCTGCCTCCTTCACAGACTTGAGATGCAGTTCACATAGATACTAAATAGATACTAAATTGCTTTATAAAATATAATTCATTTTGAAATAAAAATTATTCATTATTTGTTAATAATTATACCTCTAAGAATTAAAACTACTCAGCTTAAATTTTAAAGATTATTTTCTTTTAAAGCTTTACCTTAATTTTATGTAAATAATTTACTTTTGTAGGCTCTTTGGCCATAACAAAACTTTATTGACCCGTATTAGTATTCTCTTTCTTACCTGTAGAGATGACTCTTAACTCACCATCAGTAAGATTTGTGCTTCTGTGTATTTACTAGTGGTAGGTGAATAGTTGCTTTGAGCCACTGAAGCACAGCAAATCAATTCTGATTAAACACTTGACTAGAGACATAAAGGATGTTAAAGTGAAGTTATTGGCTCTGATTTATTTTTCTTCTTGTCAATGATATTTTTGGTGATTTTTCTATCACTTCTGAGCATATAATGTTAGATTGTTAAATCCTATAAATGACCACTTAAATGTCCTCCCTTTCTAAAAATAAGGACTTCTGTGAGTCATACTTAAAATTGCGGAAGTAAACCAATGGTCCTGAAATTGAAAATAGAAAAATAACCAGTGGG